TTCTCTGTAAGCTTTTTCTCTGTGTCAGCAATTGCTGCTTCTCTTGATTTTCCTCCCATTTCCACATCCTCTCCTGCTTCCTTCCCAGCTTCACTCAGTACTGAAGACTCTTCTGCAGATTTTTTGGATACGTCCTTTTCCCCCATGGCGTTATATACCTGCTCTCTCAACTCCTCCCTTGTTTCTTCTACATAGTTAAGGAAGATGAAGCATAAACATTCCTTCGAGTTTAGTAATAAAAGCATTAATAGAAACTGAAAAATACCACCCTCGGGCCCTTCCAGTGTGTGTATAGCCCATGTTCCTAAACTCAATTCCTTATGAAATCTAAAGAAACTGGGTCCCAAGTCCCAACCAACAAGCTTTGGGAGTCCCTATGGTCTTGTAAGTGACAACTCAAGCAAAACAGTTTTATGCATTAGAATTTTTAGTCACAGCTGAGCAAGAGATGCCAAGTTAAATCCATTTGTCAAGATGGATTAAAAACTCCTTGAGTAGTAATCCTCTGCAATGTATTAGAGAAAACTGCCCTTGAACTTTTATATTGAGGACAGTTTGGCGAGCCTGACCCAAAATAAACTCCCCCTTATGACCAACTTAAAGTGAATGATACCACATGCCACTGTACTGCTGCAAGGATACAAAGCAGTCCTAGCTGGCTGGAAAACTTAGAACAGGAACAGGAAAGTAAGTTTGAGTAATGCTGCACAATTGACAAATTTTGTGACCCCTTGACTCAGTGTGAAAGAAGAGTTTCTTGCAAAATAAAAAATTTAGCTAGGTTTGGGAGATTTACAGAATAAGATTCTTCCATCTGCTAAAAGTTCTGGCACAAAATTTCAGATCTAGGGCAGCAAGGTAAAGAATCCAGGTCCAATATTCACACAAGGTAATACAGCTTGGCATCTCTATGGCATGTTAGACAGCTCTACATACCATCTACGTTATCAGCATTTTCTACCATTGAGTCATCTTCTGCTTTTTCTTCCTCTTCTTCCACCTGCACTCCTTCCAAGGCATTTCCCAAAACACCATTCTCCATTCTAGAAAAAACACATCAGCTGCACACAAGAACCAGGGAATACATTTTGTGCTCAAAAAGAGACAGCATTTGACTGCTCTACCTAGCATCAAATTTGAGAGCACCTCTCCCACCTACAGCTCTTCTACTGTACTCATGTTCTAGCCTGCGAAAGTTCAGGCCAAACTCTTGATTTCAGTAGGTACTGAGCCTCATGCCATGTAAATATGGTATGATACTCAGTACCAAGACACAACATGGTGATACTACTAAGAACAGTTCCCTTTCCCCTGCCCCACAGATTATCTCCTATTTCTCCCTACGTTCAAGCATTCTATCAATAACCCACTCTTATTCTAATGCTCATACTCCATCTGTAAGTAACAGTGACCCCATTTAATTTATCATCTTTAAGAGGCCGTTGCATTTAACGATTTCACCCCAGAGACTCTAAACTAAAATTTGCAGTTGCTATTGTCAAAGTAGCTTCCTCCCCCCAGGCACATATACTTGTATCCCTTTATAAAGAAACGAAGATGGATACTATATATTCAGAGGACCGACAAGCCAGCCAGAGTGTCTTAATATACCTTGCTAACTCCAGGAGAGACTTTCCATAGTAAAAAAAAGCTTCTGCACACTCATCTGCTGTCTCACCATACTTTTTACCCCTACAAAGGCAAATACACAGTAACACAGGTTATTTGTACCATGTTTTAAAATAGATATAAATATTGCATATTGGTAATTTCAGCCTTTTGTGTGTGGAAGAGTCAATTTCCACACTGTTACCTCCCACAACCTCCACCCTTAGGCAAATGATTGTCATCCCTTCTTTCTGATAACTGGAATAGTTTCTACTGGAATAGTTTCTACTGAAAGTTCTGGTGCTCAGAGCACATGATAGTGGGCTTTCTAAACTATCAACTGTTCTAAGTGCTTTCTCTCTAGAAGCTAAGCCATTTCATAGAATACTAGAACTGAAAGGAACACTGCAGGGGACTGGACTTACTCATGTCTCACTTATGGCAGGACAGAGCACTATCCAGATCTTCCGTGATAAACATCTGTTTTATCTAACCTGCTTTTAAAATATCTCCAGTGATAGAGATTCCACAATCTCCCTAGGAAAGTTCACTGCTTAAGAGTTAAGTTTTTCCTAATGTCCACCCTAAAACTCCCATGTTGCAATTGAAAAGTCAATTGCTTCGTGTCCTATTGTGAAATATTAAGGACAACAATTTTTCCTCCCTCCTCCTTGTAACACCCCTTTAGGTACTGGAAAGCTATCGTGTCCCATCTCAGTCTTCTCTTTTCCAAACTAAACAAACCCAATTCTTTCAGTCTCCCCTCATAGCTCATGTTTTCTAGAGCTTTAATCATTTTTGTTGCTCTCCTCTGGACTTTCTCCAAATCTTTCCTGAAATGTGGTGCCCAGAATGAGACAATACTCCAGTCTCTGCTTTGCTTGCAATTTGTAGATTGTTTCCTAGTGATTAAACTAATGAGATTTACATTGCAGAACATTCCTGATTTTGCAATATATAGGTTGCTTTGGTTTCTTGATACGTTGATTTCTGCAGCATCATTAAGCGTCTAAGCAGCACAAATAACATATTATTTCAAAGAAATCTACATAGACAGTATATAAGCCTCAGTTTTCTAGTTAATATTCAGATAGATGCAAACTATAAAAACAGCTTGCCTAGGCCCAAGTGAAGTAGCTACATTTCAGCAGTGTGCCCCAAACAAGCATCCAAATAAAGAAAGTGATGTGTTCAGTTACTTACAATATACTAGCAGCTTCCTGGAATGCATTAACAGCCGCTGGAATATCTCCCAATACCAAGTGTTTCTGTCCTAAGCCCAGTAGTTTCTTGGCTTCTCCATCCACATCCATACTGTAAAGTTACAGAACACAGACTGGGTTAGTCACAGTACAGTTGTGAGACCATCTGTAAGCGTACAAGTTTGTAGGGATATTTATAGCCACTTTCTGTTCAAGTACACACTTCCATTTCTCACAACGTTAAAATCCAGCCTTCAGATTCTTCCCACCAAGAGTCAAACATCAACCAACAATGTGAATAGAAGTGCTAAATAGTGAGCCTCCACCATACATAGTTATTCAGTTACTGTTGGCTTAGATGACAGTTCTCCAACACAAAGACGACAAAGACTTGTCCACCTCTCATGTTAGAACAAATGTAACCTCTCACTGCAAGAAGCAGATCAGAGACAGACTGCTTAATACAATAGCCAACTTTCAGTCTCCAGCTAAGTCAAGGGCTTATATACACACAACACTGCAATATGAGAAGAGGTGTTAATACAGTTTTCTGTTACATTTTTCAGTGTAAAGGCCTGCAGAAGAGGTAGAGTTTGTGAAGACAGGGAACTTGGTTGCATAGGCATGGAATATTGGGACATGGGACCCATTAAAAAACTCCAAACATTTGTCAAGCAGCCATGCCTAGAGCAAGCTTTTGTGTTACAGCTACCAGCACAGAAGCACTCAAAGGATGTTACTGCAGTGTTTCTCTGGAACAATTTAATTGGTGTTAGCCCAGAGAAAGGAACAAAAGAGTACTCCTGAACCATGGCTTCTTGTACAGTAACTACATCTAGTAGGGCTGTAATAGTGTATTTAGCTAAATGATTATACCAACTGCGTGCATTCCCCTCCACCCCCGCGGCTCTGCTGGTAAAATTTTGGAGGGCTAGCTAGCAGCCTGGCTCAGTCCCAGCTTGCACTGGGTCCTGGAACCTATCCCTGCTGCTGCTCTGCAAGGAAAGTATTATTGTGGAGCCACAGTGGGAGATAGCTCTCAGGACTTGGTGCAAGCCAGGACTGAGCCAGGCTGCCTGTCCACCGGCACCTAAAATATTTCTAATGCAGAGCTGCAGCGGGGGTAGCTCCCGGGACAAGCCAGGACTGAGTTTGCAGTGCTAACCCTTATAGATTAATTGTAGTTCACAAAATTTTTGTGAACTACATGATTTCTTAACAACCGGGTCTCCAACTCCCAGCCTGTGGGGCATGCCTGGTTAGCATGCCTTGCTGGAGCAATTGCACAAACCATCCCAGGACTCCCAGCAGGCTGGGGCTGCAGCTGCCACTGTCCTTTATGACACCAAGCCCTGCCTCATCAAACTTTCTCCCCGCTCATGGCATCGTCAGCTGGGGACTCCCCCACTGACCTTGGGCTCCATGTGGCACTGCCTCTGTGAAACGCCGTGAGGAGCCTGAGGCTGGGCTCCCCATAGGATTTCAAAGCGGCAGTGCCGCATGGAGTCCGAGGTCAGTGGGGGGGGGGGGGCAGAGAGAGAGAAGAGAAGAGGCGGTGACTATCCTATAAGAATTTGCTTATTGAACAGTCGACTAGTCCTTCGCATCTCTACCTCTGGTCCTGCCAGGAATTCCAAGCTCCAATGTGCAATCACTCCAGATTAGGAAGGCATGCAGGCCAGGAGTTTAAGTCCCCTGATCTAGAGCTAAGCACAAGGTCAGATTTAAATATTATTTCAAATTAGATCCACTATTACCCTATTGTCTATATTTTCCTACCTTAGCCTGCTAACTCTCAAAACCCTTACCTATCAGTTTTGTCTGCAGAAGTGGAGGGAGCAGTCAATTCCTCTTCCATTCTACAACTGAAGATTTAACAAGCAATTAGAGTTTTTGCAGTGTTGTACATGGTGTTACCAAATGGTGAAGTGACCAGACATTTCCAGAATCAGTAACGTGAGAAATCTTGTGCACGATTTTGAACTCTTGACTTTCCAGAATAGATGTCTGGAAACTTGTCTACGCTGTGGGCCATAGCGGATCAGAAATTAAATGTAGAATTAGAACACTTTATGCTGGGATCTCACCAATGCTATTCAGCCATAAGTTAACTTCTCATCAGAAACCAAGACTTTAGTTTCCCCTCCCTCCTCCACATACATTGCTGGCTTTCTAGTAAGAAATAAGTAGGGGAAGCAAATCCTTTTCACACAAGTTTTTCTTTAGTTAAAAACCCAGTTTTCTGTCAAAAGAAGTTGACAGATTTTAATTTTAAGTTGACCTAATTTTAAGACAGGTAGCAGCCTTGAACAGCTGGCTAGCTCACCTTTCCATGAACACCTCCCATCCCACTCAGTATCAACTGCATAACACCAGTGTCAACCATAGCTACTGCTTACATAGCTAAAATATATTCATTATTTTCCAAATTAAGGCAGCTCTGTAGCTGGAAACGAAGTCAGCATCATGCATGTAGTTAGCGCTAATCAACAGGACCACTTATTCTGAAGTTGATATGTTTCTTAGAATGAACTCATGTGTCTCTCTTACTTTCAAAGTTCACTTCCCCTGCCAAGCCACATCAAGTGTAACAGGACAGATCACAAATAACTTCTTTAGAAAACTGAGGTCTGTGTCAGAAGAACTTAAGGTCTCAATAGCCCTTAAAAGAGAGCACAGTATTTGGGGTAACCAATGGCGACCTGTTTCCTATCTCTGGCTCAGTGAAAGTGAAGGCCTTTGGGGCCTCATTTGGTGAAATAAAGAAGGTTACAAAATGTGCCCTCTTCACCCAGCAAGACCATGTGGAGTTAAGGTCTAACAGCCAGAGGATCTATACTGGAGTATATCCTAAGGAGAAGAGACAGCACTTTCTAAGTGGGGATTTGCTAGCAAGGCAAGCTGATTTATATACAGAATTCAACTAGGCTCAGCCCCCTTCTTTAACCCTGGCTGCATTTCCTGGGTTTACCTTTACCCGCCAGCACAATTTAAAACCCATGTTAAAGCTATGCATTTTTGTGGTTTGACACTCACTGATTTCAAACAAAGAAACAGAATTCAAACAAAGTTGCACAAAAATAATCAAATTGGTTTTAGGAAACCAATTTAGATAAATCAATAGAAGTGTGTAGACATCCCATTCAGTGACAGAATATTATCTGAGTACTTATACAGCTCATCACCACAGTATCTCAAATATTAATGGATTTTGTCACCCCAACACAGAAGTAAGGAAGTATTATACCACGTGGGGTATGGAAACACAGGGCATATTAACTCATACATGGTCAGATGGGAAATTTCTAGGCAAGATGAGCCTGAACTCAGCTCTCCAGTGCCTTATACACTACAGCAGCCTTCCTAACCCATATTGTACATGTTTGGGCAGTTACTTAGTAGAACTACAGCCATACCTGGGGCTGCAAGTCTCAAGTACAGAGATGAGAGTGATTTTTAACCATGAAAGCTTATGCTCAAATAAATCAGTCAGTCTTTAAGGTGCCACAGGACTCCTCGCTTTTTGCAGATACAAATTAACAACAGCTACCCTGGCAAGTACAGAGAGATGTGTCTGTGGCCTGTGGGTCGAGTACCTACACCTAGAACTCCAAAGCCTACTCTGCTCCGGTCCTGGGTGCGTTGTTTAAAGTCTGCCCTTCAGAGCCCCTCGTTCCTGGAAAAGGGATCGTAGGTATTCCACATAACGGGGTCTCCATTGAGATTAGCCTGGGCAGCGGGTGAAGGCTCAGCCCCCCAGCTAAGCCCTGCCCGTTGCCAAGCAGGTAGGCAGTTTTGGAAAGGCAACGCCTCTCCTTGCCTACATCGCCCATGCGTGCAGCTCCCAGCCGGGCTATGCCATGTCCCGCAGCCCGGCCCCAGAGGGGAGCCCTAGGGCAGGGGCAGGCGAGATACGGCCCCAGGGCTGAGCCTGGCCCACCCCACGGGACCAGGGGGCGGCCCCAGGGCTGAGCCTGGCCCACCCCACGGGACCAGGGGGCGGCCCCAGGGCTGAGCCTGGCCCACCCCACGGGACCAGGGGGCGGCCCCAGGGCTGAGCCTGGCCCACCCCACGGGACCAGGGGGCGGCCCCAGGGCTGAGCCTGGCCCACCCCACGGGACCAGGGGGCGGCCCCAGGGCTGAGCCTGGCCCACCCCACGGGACCAGGGGGCGGCCCCAGGGCTGAGCCTGGCCCACCCCACGGGACCAGGGGGCGGCCCCAGGGCTGAGCCTGGCCCACCCCACGGGACCAGGGGGCGGCCCCAGGGCTGAGCCTGGCCCACCCCACGGGACCAGGGGGCGGCCCCAGGGCTGAGCCTGGCCCACCCCACGGGACCAGGGGGCGGCCCCAGGGCTGAGCCTGGCCCACCCCACGGGACCAGGGGGCGGCCCCAGGGCTGAGCCTGGCCCACCCCACGGGACCAGGGGGCGGCCCCAGGGCTGAGCCTGGCCCACCCCACGGGACCAGGGGGCGGCCCCAGGGCTGAGCCTGGCCCACCCCACGGGACCAGGGGGCGGCCCCAGGGCTGAGCCTGGCCCACCCCACGGGACCAGGGGGCGGCCCCAGGGCTGAGCCTGGCCCACCCCACGGGACCAGGGGGCGGCCCCAGGGCTGAGCCTGGCCCACCCCACGGGACCAGGGGGCGGCCCCAGGGCTGAGCCTGGCCCACCCCACGGGACCAGGGGGCGGCCCCAGGGCTGAGCCTGGCCCACCCCACGGGACCAGGGGGCGGCCCCAGGGCTGAGCCTGGCCCACCCCACGGGACCAGGGGGCGGCCCCAGGGCTGAGCCTGGCCCACCCCACGGGACCAGGGGGCGGCCCCAGGGCTGAGCCTGGCCCACCCCACGGGACCAGGGGGCGGCCCCAGGGCTGAGCCTGGCCCACCCCACGGGACCAGGGGGCGGCCCCAGGGCTGAGCCTGGCCCACCCCACGGGACCAGGGGGCGGCCCCAGGGCTGAGCCTGGCCCACCCCACGGGACCAGGGGGCGGCCCCAGGGCTGAGCCTGGCCCACCCCACGGGACCAGGGGGCGGCCCCAGGGCTGAGCCTGGCCCACCCCACGGGACCAGGGGGCGGCCCCAGGGCTGAGCCTGGCCCACCCCACGGGACCAGGGGGCGGCCCCAGGGCTGAGCCTGGCCCACCCCACGGGACCAGGGGGCGGCCCCAGGGCTGAGCCTGGCCCACCCCACGGGACCAGGGGGCGGCCCCAGGGCTGAGCCTGGCCCACCCCACGGGACCAGGGGGCGGCCCCAGGGCTGAGCCTGGCCCACCCCACGGGACCAGGGGGCGGCCCCAGGGCTGAGCCTGGCCCACCCCACGGGACCAGGGGGCGGCCCCAGGGCTGAGCCTGGCCCACCCCACGGGACCAGGGGGCGGCCCCAGGGCTGAGCCTGGCCCACCCCACGGGACCAGGGGGCGGCCCCAGGGCTGAGCCTGGCCCACCCCACGGGACCAGGGGGCGGCCCCAGGGCTGAGCCTGGCCCACCCCACGGGACCAGGGGGCGGCCCCACGGGGGGCACTCAGACAGCAAGGCACCCCCCCCACCCCCACACTGCTGTGCACAAGGGGTAACAGCGCTCATCACAAGCCAACCTTGTGCTAAGACGAATGAAGCACAGCGGTGCAAATGACAATAATTCCATCATATAATTCACCATCGCTCCCCTCCCTGACATGCTGCGTCTGGTTCGGGTCACCCTCTCTCTAACTGGAGAGCTCAGAAAGAAGAGGCAGACAACAGAAAGGCTGCGTCTACATTGGTGTGATCTTGCGCAAAAGCAGCTGCTTTTGCGCCAAAACTTGCTGCCTGTCTACACTGGCCGCGAGTCCTTGCGCAAGAACACTGACGTGCTATTGTATGAAATCAGGGCTTCTTGCGCAAGAACTGTGATGCTCCCGCTCAGGAATAAGCCCTTTTGTGCAACTGTTCTTGCGTAAGAGGCCAGTGTAGACAGGCAACATGAATTTCTTGTGCAAGAAAGCCCTATGGTTAAAATGGCCATCGGAGCTTTCTTGCACAAGAGAGTGTCTACACTGGCATGGATGCTCTTGCGCAAAAGCACATCGCTTGCACAAAGGCACATGCCAGTGTAGATGCTCTCTTGCACAAATACTTTTAACGCAAGAACTCTTGCGTTAGAGTATTTGCGCAAGATCATGCCAATGCAGACATAGCCAAAGAGTTAGAGTAAGGATGGGGAACCTCAGGCCAGGTTGCACCTCCCAGCTTGCCTGGATCTGGCCCCTGAAGCTCAGAGCTCCAACCCGCCCCCCCATCATCCCACCTCAGGGCTGGAACACACAAAATGTACGAGCCTGAGCCCCTCTAGACTCTAATGTGCAAAGGGAATGTGCATCTTTCTTTCTCAGCTGGATCATGTGGGTCAGCAGTCCCCCACCCAAAATCGGTTCCCCAACCCAGGATTAAAGGCATGGACTTACCTGCGAGTAGAGTAAGGTTAAGTCTAGTCTTCAGGCTTCTTCCAAAAGGGAGAGTCCACACTGCAAAAGTGCATCAAAAAAGCGATTTGCTTTTTTGAAAGATAGCATCCACACGGAATGGACAGTATCTCGCAGTTCAGCTGTGATTACTATGGATGGAGTGGCCAGCAGGGCACCTGAGCTTTTTCCTCTTCTTTCAAAAGAACTCCCTCTTCCTCATTCACACACATCTTTTTCCAAAAGAGCTCCTTCAGAAAAAGGCTTCTTCATTCTACGAGGAAGATTTCCAATGTCGGAAAAACCCCTCTGTTCTTTCAAAAGAACACGCAGTGTGGATGTAATTGAAGTTTTTTTGGGAAAATGGCCATTTTTCCGAAAACACTCTGTAGTGTAGATATACCCTAAGACTATGTCTACACTGTCCCCATTTTGTGCAAAAATATGCAAATGAGACAGTGTGGAATATCACCATGCCTCATTTGCATAATTAATGAGGCTCCGTTTTTGCACAAAAACCCCTCTTGCGCAAGAGCTGTTCTTTCTGGGGAAAAAAAGTAGAAGAACGAATCTTGCACAAAAGCCTCTTGTGCAAAAATGGAGCCTCATTAATTATGCAAATGAGGCATGGTGATATTCCACACTGTCTCATTTGCATATTTTTGCACAAAATGGGGGCAGTGTAGACATAGCCCCCCGACCTGGAAAGGCTAGCAAAAACACAATTAGAACTATAAAGCCTAAGAGGAAATGTGATGGTGATAGATCAATTATGAATCAAACAAAAGGAAGTTTTTCTTCGTACAGCGCACAGTCAACCTGTGGAACTCCTTGTTGCGAAGACTAGGACATTAACAGGGTTCAAAAAACAACTAGATAAATTCATGGAGGTTAGGTCTATCAATGTCTATTAGCCAGGGTGGGTAGGAACAGTGTCCCTAGCCTCTGTTTGTCAGAAGCTGGGAATGGGTGACATGGGAGGGATCACGTGATGATTCCCTGTTCTGTTCACTCCCTCTGGGGCATCTGGCATTGACCCGTTAGAAGATAAGATGCTGGGCTAGATGGACCTTTGGTCTGACCCAGTCTGGCCATTCTTATGAATGATAAAGTAACATGAGTAGAACAACATGGTTATCCTTTTGCATAATCCAGGAACAAGGGCCTGTTTAATTATATTGAAGGGCAGCAAATTAAAATCCAATACAACTGGAAAATTTAAATGCAAGCAATCCATAATTAACATGTGGAACTCAATACCTCAAGGTGTAATTTATTCCAACAATTTAGTACAATTTTTTTTTTTTAAAGGAACAGAATATTCACAGATATTTATCAATCCATCAGTACAAGCCTTCCAGCTTCAGGTACAAATTAACCTCTAGCAGATGTGGGTTAGAAAGACATTTGATTATAAACTGCTTATTCCTTAGTTGTCTAATATTGTATTCCTTGCATTTTCTACTGAAGCCCCAGGCATTGGTTGAGAGAATATCTTTTAAAAATGCTTTAATTAGGTTCCTGGCATTCACAATTTTCTACATCCAGGTCAAGCCATAAAAACTGGATACATTCTTTAAGAGCAGAAAATGACCCAAAAAAGGTGAAAACGCATGTAGATTAAAATAATTTTTCTAGCAGAGGCAGCAGCATGAAGGGGGGAGGGAAGCAGGTGGCTCCTCGGGATCTGGTGCTCATGGGAGCCAGCTGATATAAAGGTAGCGAAGGGGGGGGGGGTGGTGTTGTGTGTGGTCAACAGGATTAACCCAGGCTTACTGATTAAATGGGTAGTCAACTATTCATTGACATCCCTAATGCAAAGTGCAGCCCTTGACCACTTAAATTCTTGGAGTGCCCCTCCCCCATCAAATATTAGTGCCCATCCCAGTGTCTACGCTGAAGAGCTATCACCAACAGGGCAGGCAGAGGCTTAGAGAGGAAGTGACTTGCTCAAGGTCATGCTGGAGGACAATAGCAGAGTCTGGAATAGAACCCAGTTCTTCTGGCTCCCGATCCAGCATCATCATGAGACCATGCTAGCTACTCTGCAAAGAGGTTACAAGGTTCCTTCCAGCAAGCCCTAGAAGCACATGTGGCATCGCTAGGAACTAATCCAGTCCCAAAAACTGAATTGGACAGTTGCTGCTGAGGCTGCATTAGGTAGAAAGATTGGCAATGGCTTTCTACTTCTCTTTTAGGAAACAAATGTAGTAATAAACAATTGAGCAGCAATTTGCTTTTTAAAAATTGTTCTGTTCCCCACCCCCATCCACACACTTGGCCTCGAAGACTTCAGAATGGTTTTACACACTTATCCCAATTCAAAACGAATGTCTTATCCTAGTTTTACATTTTCAGTGTCTATGTATCTTTCATGATATTGATTCCCTCACTCTTCCCCCATTAACACCATACATTTCCTCATAGCAGCAAGCATGTATTATATGAAGTCTCATGAGCACAATGTAGGTATTGCAACGTCAGGAAGATGTTATGTAATAAAGTATGCTATCAGAAAACCCATAGAAACCTAATATTTAGAACGTCCGGTTTTATTTGGAAAGATTTTTGATAAACTATGGCAACCACTATTTTGGGAATGAGTGCATGGAGTCCTAATTCTAATACCTAATCTACTGTGCTTAATATGGGTCATTGAAGGGGTAAAGCGGATGTCCAGCATCTCTTGCTACTAGTTTTCCATCCACCTGTGAAATAAAAAGACAATCTGAGTCAGAAAGTTAAAAAGCCAGTTCTTGCTTGACAGTAAAAACAGAACCATGCAGAATCTAGTTTCCTTTACGTCCCAGTCTTTAGCAAGGACATATTTAACAGTCACTGCTCCCAAGGCATAGTATTACTAGAAAAATCTTCTCTTTCCAAGATAATTTTGTGTAGCCTGAACAGAAATCATGTTCCAGTAGCTAGGACTTGAGGATACACTTGCCAATCCTACAGGATTGACCTGGAGTCTCCACTAATTAAAGATTACGTCACAAAGAAATTTCCAGGAATATATCCAACCAAAATTGGCAGCCCTGCTTGAAGAATGGATTAAGAATAATTAGGATTTCTTATTTACAATATTTGTCTAATAATGGCTATAATCTGTGTACTTTGCAAAGCACTTAAAATATAATCTATTCGTTTAACTAGCCACACTTCTGTGAGACACTAGAGAGAAAAGTGTAGTTATGTTGGCTTGACAAATGGATACACCAAGAGAGAGAAGTTAGGTAACTTGCTCCAAGTTGCACAGTGAGTCAGTGGCAGGGTTGGTTAATGAATTCAGGAGTTCTGACTCCTATCTACTAAACACATAGTAGGAACCTCTGGCTCCACTGAAGTCTTAGCAAAAGTCCCATTTGACATCATTTGGAGCAGGATTTCATCCATGTCCTCTTTTGAGCAGAAGGCATTTTTTACACTACACCGAAAGCTTCCAAAAGAAGGAGGTGTACCTTCCAAGGAGCCAAGCTCCGCCAGCCAGCTAAAATTTCCTTCTGTGAAGCTAACTACCAGTTGTATGCATCTAATGTTAGAGATGGAATAAGACAGCAGGAACTGAAGTTATTAGAAACTGGGGAGACTTTTGGGAAAGGGGGAGCTTATACAGGAAGGATGGGCTCCACCCAAACCAAATTGCTGGCACTTAACATTAAAAAGGTCTTAGAGCAGTTTTTAAACTAAGGGTTGGGGGAAAGCCAACAAATGTGGAGGAGCACATGGATCGGACAGAGACATCTCTTGGGGAGGTCTATTAATAGAGATTCTTTATGCTCTAATGAGGAAAGGATGGAAAATGATAAAGTATAGGTAGGATCAGATGAGAAAATCAAATGAAAAAAAGTAACACATCAGGAAATGGCAGACAGATAAATAGTGCTACATTTTTAAAGCATTTATACACAAACACTAGACATCTAAATAATAAGATGGGTGAACTAGTGTGCCTCGTATTAAAGGAGGATATTGATATAATAAGCATCACAGAAACTTAGTGGAATCAGGACAATCAATGGAGCACAGTCATGCCAGGGTACAAAATATATCGGAAAGACAGAACAGGTCATGCTGGTGGGGGAGTGGCACTATACGTGAAAGAAAATGTAGAATCAAATTAAGTAAAAATCTTAAATAAACCAAAATGTTCCATCGAACCTCTATGGGTAGTAATTCCATGCTCTAGTAATAAAAGTACTGTATAGCAGTAGTGATATATTATTATCCACCCAACCAGGACAGTGATAGTGACTATGTAATGTTAAGGGAGATTAGAGAGGCAATCAAAATACTTTAAATGACTGCTTCTTGGAGCATCCATTTCTGGAACCCACAAGGGGAAGAGGCAATTCTTGATTTAGTCCTAAGTGGAGCGCAGGATCTGGTTCAAGAGGTAAATATAACTGGACCGCTTAGAAATAGTGACCATAGTATAATAAAATTTAACATCTGTGTGGTGGGAAAAACTCTTCAGCAGCCTAGCACTGAGGCATTTAATTTCAGGAAGGGGAACTACACAAAAATTAGGAGGTTAGTTAAACAGAAATTAAAAGGTACAGTGAAAAAAAAATCCCTTCTAGCTGCATGGAAACTTTTTAAAGACACCATAATAGAGACCCATCTTTAATGTATTCCCCAAATTAAAAAAAACCTACAACAACAGTAAGACAATCAAAAAAGTGCCACCGTGGCTTAATGATCAACTAAAAAAGCAGAGAGAGATAAAGAAGCATCATTTAAAAAGTTGAAGTTAAATCCTAGTGAGGAAAATAGAAAGGAGCATAAACTCTGTCAAATTTAGTGTAAAAATATAATAAGAAAAGCCAGAAAGGAGTTTGAAGAACAGCTAGCCAAAAACTCAAAAAGTAATAGCAAAATGTTTTTTAAGTTCATCAGAAGCAGGAAGCCTGCTAAACAACCAGTGGGGCCACTGGATGATTGAGATACTAAAAGAGCACTCGAAGACGATAAGGTCATTGCGGAGAAACTAAATGAATTCTGTGCTTCAGTCTACATGGCTGAGGATGTTAGGGAAATTCCCAAACCTGAGCCATTCTTTTTAGGTGACAAATCAGAGGAATTGACGCAGACTGAGGTGTAATTAGAGGAAGTTTTGGAACAAATTGATAAACTTAACAGTAACAAGTCACCAGGACCAGATGGCATTCACCCAAGAGTTCTGAAAAAAAATCAAAATGTGAAATTGCAGAACTATTAACTGTGGTTTGTAACCTAACCTTTAAATCAGCTTCTGTACCTAATGACTGGAAGATAGCTAATATGACGCCAATATTTAACAAGGGCTCTAGAGGTGATGCTGGCAATTACAGACCGGTAAGTCTAACATCAGTTCCGGGCAAATCAGTTGAAACTATAGCAAAGAATAAAAATTATCAGACACATAGATGAACATAATTTTTTGGGGGGAAGCCAACATGGTTTCTGTAAAGGGAAATCCTGCCTTACTAATCTACTAGAGTTCTTTGAGGGCGTCAAACATGTGGACAAGGGGGAGCCAGTGGATATAGTATACTTTGATTTCCAGAAAGCCTTTGACAAGGTCCCTCACCAAAGGCTCTTAAGTAAAGTAAGTTATCATGGGATGAGACAAGATCTTCTCATGGACTGATAACTGGTTAAAAGACAGGAAACAAAGGGTAGGAATAAATGGTCCGTTTTCAGAATGGAGACACATAACTGGTAGTGTCCCTCAGGGATCTGTACTGGGACCAATCCTATTCAACCTATTTATAAACAATTTGGAGAAAGGGGTAAACAGTGAGGTGGCAAAATTTCCAGAGGATACTAAACTGCTCAATAGTTAAGACCAAAGCAGACTGTGAAGAGCTTTGAAAAGATCTCAAACTAGTGATTGGGCAACAAAATGGCAAATGAAATTTAATGTTGATAAATGGTAAAGTAATGCACACTGGAAAAAATAATCCCATCCCAACTATACACACAAAATGATGGGGACTAATTTAGCTATAACTACTCAAGAGAGAGATCTTGAAGTCATTGTGGATAGTTCTTTGGAAACAACCACTCAAACGTGCAGCAGCAGTTAAAAAAGCAAACAGAATGTTAGAAATAATTTTTAAAAGGAAAGAGAATAAGATAGAGAATATTTTACTGCCTCTTTTTAAATCCATGGTACACCCACATCTTGAATACTGCATATAGATTAAGGATGTTAAATTTAGATTAATCAGCTAATCAAATAGTTTATGTAATTTGCATCAACTAGTTGATAAGGGCGCCTCTGCCTTTGAAACATAGCAAGAGTCTGGTCAGCTCCTGCTACATTTCAAAGGCAGAAGTGCCCAGCAGTGAGTCTCCCACTGGACCCGTGCTCCCAGCTCAGAGTCTGAGCAGCCCCTGCTACATTTCAAAGGCAGAAGTGCCCAGCAGTGAGTCTCCCACTGGACCCGTGCTCCCAGCTGCACTTTGCTTTTGAAATGTAGCAAGAGCTGACCAGACTCTTGCTACGTTTCAAAGGCAGAGGCGCCCCTATCAACTAGCTAATGGATCTTTGGTCTGTCCCAGAATGGCTGTTCTTATGTTCTTAAGAAAAAAAAAATCTCAGAAACATATCTACTAGTAAATTTTCCACCTACTTCTTTGAAACCAACAGCTTAGATCTCATTAATTATTTAGTGTGTATGCTACAATTTTGTTCTTCAACCAGACCACTAGGGGGCACTGGAAGCAGTGACTAAAATGCAGAGGACTAACCAGCACATGGAAACATGTTGGGAGTTTTAAACATGATTAATCTTCAGATTTAAAAGTGTATTAAAATATTCAAAGTTTGACCAATTGCTAAGCCAGAGCCCCCCAAAACTCCACGGACAAAGCCATCTTGGGATCTTTGTGCATTTTTTTTAAAACTCTCTCATTGAGAAAGTGATCCTCCTTGGACAAGAAAGTCAACAACTCCTCCACACCTTCCAGAAATTCATATTCTCCACTCATCTTTCCTTTCCTCCATGTTCCCCTATTTCTCAAAAGTGCTCTGTGTAAGACAGCACTTCTTGCAGGTAAGTATGCTTGTTAGCAGTACACCCCGGAGCTGGGTTCCATTCCAATATCACTTGGGCTACGTCTACATTGGCCCCTTTTCCGGAAGGGGCATGGTAATTTTTGAAATCGCAATAGGGAAATGCGCGGGGGATTTAAATATCCCCCGCGGCATTTAAATAAAAATGTCCGCCGCTTTTTTCCGGCTTTTAGAAAAGCCGGAAAAGAGCGTCTACACTGGCCCCGATCCTCCGGAAAAAGGCAGGAAAGGAGCGTCTACACTGGCCTCGATCCTCCGGAAAAAGTGCCCTTTTCCGGAGGATCTTATTCCTACTTCAAAGTCCTACTTCAAAGTAGGAATAAGATCCTCCGGAAAAGGGCGCTTTTTCCGGAGGATCGGAGCCAGTGTAGACGCTCTTTTCCGGCTTTTCTAAAAGCCGGAAAAAAGCGGCGGACATTTTTATTTAAATGCCGCGGGGGATATTTAAATCCCCTGCACATTTCCCTATTGCGATTTCAAAAATTACCATGCCCCTTCCGGAAAAGGGGCCAATGTAGACGTAGCCTTTGCTGTTTCTTTGTACAACCGTCTGGCTGCACAAAACACAAGAGGTAGAAATATTCACTGCCCAGTTTCTGGCTCCCAAGAGATTTTGCAGGGGTGCATTCACCTTATTTGGAGGGAGAGTGTTAAGAGCGGTAGTTACCAAATGACCTATCCACAGAGACCTTGAAATAAAAATCAAATATGCTCCAAACAAAGTGTAGCTGCTTATTCAATAACAGATTTGCACGCACACCTGTCAATCATGCACCTTCCTGTTTTGTGGTCATCTAGTGCTCTGCCTAAATGTGTACCTTTGTCACTGATTTATTTAGGGAAGTATTGATTTGACACAGATACCCACTTATGATTACATACCTCTCTCCCTGTCCCCCCCCCCCCCTTCTCCCACAACAGGTGCTGATATTAGCCTTTATAGAGAGCGGAAGGAGGAAATCAAACCACTTAGTTAGACACCTAAATTTGAACTTAAGAATAAAACTTTAGACAAGAACATAAGAGCGGCCAGACTGGGTCAGACCAAAGGTCCATCTAGCCCAGTACCCTGTCTTCCAAAAGTGGCCAATGCTTAATGGCCCAAAGGGAACAAACAGAACATGTACACATCAAATGATCCATTCCCTATCAATGTTTTTAATCTTGTCCTTAGACCTTAGCCCCTATTAGCTGCTGTGGTTTCATGCTAGCGTAGTAAAGCAAGAAAAACACATGTCCTATCAAGTGTAATTTTAGGTACTCAGATGCCATGCTAAAGACCTAGATAGTATAGATTTGATACTCGAGATTTTTCAAAGGCACTTGGTTTTTAAATAAGTGGTATTTGGAGATCAGGAAACACTTCTTAAAATCAGAAAAGCGTGAACAGAGGATCCCACACACACATTGGGGCAATACGTTCCTATTTTAAATTCTTCCCATCTCATTGTTTCCGGTTTCACTTTTCATCTTTGAAGCTCAGCTGCCCAGCATGTAGCCTCTTCCTCGCTGGCACTTTGAACTACCTTCTTTTGTCTCAGCATCTGCTCGGTGAATCACCATCATGCTCATAGTTTCTTCCATATAACAAAGGCACCTAAATATTCCAGCTACCAGGTACATATTCTTACCGTATTTTGTTATTGATTAGTCAACAGCTCTGTTAGCAACATGAGTATCAAAACTAGAAAGGACCACCGTCAGCAATCAGGTGTGTCTGCAAACATTGCACACATGCATTCACTAAATATTCTGTCCAGGCAAGCTGGGAGGTAGGTACAGAACTGCTCTAGAGAGTTAAGGACAAAGCAGACTCAAGAGCTTCAAAAGGATCTCACATGACTAAAAGACCGGGCAACAAAATGGCAGATTAAATTCAATGTTAATAAGTGCAAAGTAATGTACATTGGAAAACATAATCCCAACTATACATATAAAATGATGGAGACTAAATTAGCTAATACCACTCAAAAGAGAGATCTTGGGGTCATTGTGGATAGCTCTCTGAAAACATCCACTCCATGTGCAGTTGCAGTCAGAGTGTTGGAAATCATTAAGAAGGAGATAGATCATAAAGACAGAGAATATTTTAATGCCTCTGTATAAATCCATGGTATGCCCACATCTGGAATAGTGTGAGAGATGTGACTGTCCCATCTGAAAAAAAGATGCCTTAGCACTGGAAAAAGTTCAGAAAAGGGCAAAAAACGACTAGGGATATGGAATGTCTGCCATCTGAGCAGAGACTAATAATATTGGGATTTTTCAGCTTGGAAAAGAGATGACTAAAGGTGGGATTTGAGAAAGGTCTATAAAATCATGACTGGTGTGGAGAAAGTGAATAAAAAAGAATAATTTCCTCCTTCCCATAACACAAGAACTAAGGGTCACCAAATGAAGTTAGTAGGTAGCAGGTTTAAAACAAACCAAAGGAAGTTTTTCTTTACATAGTGGAACTCCTTGCCAAAGGATGTTGTAAAGGCTAGGACTTTAACAGGGTTCAAAAAAGAATTAGATACATTCATGGAGGTTAGGTCCATCAATGGCTATTACTCAGGATGGGCAGGAATAGTGTCCCTAGCCTCTGTTTGTCAGAGGCTGGGAATGGGTGACAAGAGAGGGATCACTTGATGAGTCCCTGTTCTGTTCATTCTTTCTGGGGCACCTGGCACTGGCCAGTGTCAGAAGGTCAGTTAATGTTAATAAGGTTAGATGTTAACGGGTTAGATTAGGGTGGCCATATTTTCCTATGGTGAATTCGGGACACCTGGTATAATTGCTCTAATTCAAGCAAGTTCATCAATCTTTTATGAAAAGGCTTTCTCCAGCTTCATTACCCTAATAAGATGCAGGGCTTTGTTCACAGATAGCTGTTGCAGGGGGTGAAGAAAGAAAGAACAGAGAAGCAAACAACGCAAGCACACACACACTTTCTCCGCCCTGCTCCCATGGTCAGCCAGAGAAACTTACTGTAACCATTGGCACAATGTAGCGCCAGTTTTTATTCAGACTTCCAATGTAATCCATCTCTTCTCCTGTGAGATTAAAGTCGAACACCTAAAACGACAACAATTCAAGCTTTATTCTTGGTTGCCAGTCTATATAGCCCCCGAACCTTGCCACCCTGTCACACTCCCTTTGTAACAATTATAGCCCACCTGCCTCCGACCCTCTCCCTCAGAGATCCGACAAACAATGGGGGGTGGTTTGCAACTAAGTAAGACTTGCACCTGCTTGCCTCGGTTTACCAGGGCACAGAGTGATTTAGAAACACCTTGAAGCATCAACCTGGGGCCCTGCAACAGTACCGACATTTGCATAGATTGGACATGGTAAATTGCAACTGCCCTTTTAGAGCTCTGTGCGCGCGCGCGCACACACACACACACACACACACACACACACACACACACCCACCCCACCCCCCCCCCCCCCCCCCCCAACAACAGAAAGGAATAATTTAAAAATGTAATTACAATATGCTTTTGTCTGGGCTTTAGAGGAAAAAGCTCAGTGCAATATGCACTATTAGAATTTCTAATCTCTATATTTTCCTCTATAAAGGGTAAATTATTAAACACTCTCTTTGAAACAGTATTACAAAGGAATTAACAATCATACTGGAAGATGTAATCTTGATAGCCTCCTGATGAAGAGACTTCCTTTCCCATTGGAAAGCATTAGACATTAGAGATTAAAAGAAGGGAAAAAAAAACCTCTAAATGGGCCAAATCCCAGGTCTCTACTTGTCAGGATTGGTTCTCTATTTTTTACATTTGTTCATTAACAGGGGTTGAAGCAATTTGATAAAAAATAAATAGATGCAGGGCTAAACCTGGAGGTCTTTATTCAGGGCATGATACTACAGTACTTGTCTGAGGGGAATTGGAAAATACTATTTCCTTTATCATTTTTACAGTGAAAATATTTCTGATAAAAATAAAGTGAACACTGTGATCTTTGCATTCTGTGCTTTTATTGAAACCAATGTTTGAAAATATAGAAAATCTTCCAAAATATTTAATAAATTGCAATTGGTATTCTATAGTTTCAAAGTGTGATTAATCACAATTACATTTTTTAATTGTGATTAATGTTTTGGAGTCAATCATACAAGTTAACTGATTAAATTGAAAGTCCTAGCTTTTCCAAAAAAAGCAAAAAGCGGCTTTGCTGGTAGCATTTTAAGAAAAATTATTGTTTATTTATCTAAGACAAGGGCAAACTCCAGTGCTAAGTTAAGGACGAGGGATTTTTATCTAAAAACTAGTAGTATGTGATCAAACCCTTCTGTCACTCAGAACTTAAAGGAGTTTCTTTTCCAAAAATTCTTCCCACCCATCTGTTGTGTACATGCCCATACAGAACTGCAGTACTGGTAACGAGTCTTTGGCTGAACAACCTTGTTTTTGCTGTTGCTCCGTTACTAACATATTTTGCCGCATTGGTATTGTTAATAAGTCTGCTTCTATGGGAAAAGCTCTTACCTGGAGATTTTGCAGAATGCGGGCAGGAGTGACACTCTTGGGAATGGCAGCCACCTTACGCTGCACTTGCCACCTATTACACAGGGAAGGAAGAAAAACCTCAACTTCTACTCATATAACCAAGGGGTGGGCGGGCAACAAACCAGAAACTTTTGTTTAAGCAAAAAATTCCCTCTTTCACTTGGTGGTGTGTTTACTCTCTGCACCTTCTACCTGTCTCTGGGCATTTTATGGCTGTGAGGTGGTCATGGGTTTAATCTTCGTACCCATCAACACCAATTTTGAGCAAAATGGAATGGTCACTAGACTATTTCAGTGAGAACCATGAGTGATCAGTTTTGAAAAACAAACAAACAAACAAATAAATAATCAAACTCAAGGGCTGCGTCTAGACTGGCATGATTTTGAGGAAATACTTTTAACGGAAAAGTTTTTCCATTAAAAGTATTTCCGCAGAAGAGCATCTAGATTGGCACAGATGCTTTTGCGCAAAAGCATCTGTGCCCAGTATAGATGTGCTTTTGCACAAGAAAGCTCCTATGGCCATTTTAGCCATTGGGCTTTCTTGCGCAAAAAATTAAGGTGCCTGTCTACACTGGCCCTCTTGCGCAAGAGGGCTTATCCCTGAGCAGGAGCGTCTAAGTATTTGCGCAAGAAGCACTGAATTCTTACATTAGAACGTCAGTGCTCTTGCGCACATTCAAGCGGCCAGTGTAGACAGCTGGCAAGTTTTTGCGCACAAGCAGCTGCTTTTGCGCAAAGTCTTGCCAGTCTAGACCCACCCATCACGTCTCAGGCTGGACTGCCAAACTGTTTAGAAAATTTTGACCCTAGTAACTTCAAGCGTAAGGTAAACCAAGAAGAGTCCCCAGTTCTTTCTACTCCCTTGAGCACGAGCTCATCCTTCTCCCAGCTAACTAACCAACTCTAGTCCCACATTTGTGGGGCTGTGATTGAAGATGGGGATGGCAAAGGATGAAGCAAACCTCTTCATCCAGCCCAGATGTTGCTGATGCCCTTTACCTCCCACTTACAACTACCATGACTCTTTCAAGTGCTCAACACCGTACAGAATCAAAACCTTAGACTGACTTGAGCTACAGAAGAAATAGAGGAGAAAATAGTGTTTGCCAAGTAGAAAAGTGCTTTGTGGTTCTAATACTCTATTGACAAAAATACTGTCTCAGTCAGAACCCCTTTATAACGGTGCTTTACTTGTGTCAATAGGGACAGGGATGAATCCCCCCCCCCTTTTCAGAACTGTTTAGTACCGGAGGAGGATTTGAGCAGGTGATCTGCTATATTTTTCTGCCAGCTTTTTGATCCCAGATTCTTCTAGAAGTACTGGTTCATCAGGGTGCTTCCACATTCGATCAGGAGAGCCAAGGGGACTGTATGCTGTTACTACCAGCCCTTGCTTATTACAGTGAGCTATTAACTCATTCTGAGCAAGGTAGGGATGGCATTCCACCTGTTAAAGCAATGCACAGTGAATACACAGTGAGCAGACCTCAATAAAAAACAACAACAACAAAGCCAACAACAAAATAGAAATTTAAGTGCACAACAACAGAAAAAAGAAGAGGACTGAAGTCTGTTTCAGTTGTTGGGATTCCCACAATGATGTAAATATTTAC